AAAACAGAGCATTTAAATGCAGATCAATGCAAAGGTTGACCTGCCTGAGATGCTCTGATAGTTCTGAGGCTGGAGGGCAAGAGTGCAGTTTTCTGAAAGGGTCCCTCTGGGGCCTGGGCTGCAGGCTACAGGCAGCTTTGGAGTTCAGAGTCTTCATGAAGGGCTTTGCACAAAGAGAGTTTTCCCACACAGCCACATCTGTATTTGTGAAGTGAAGCCTTTTCATTCCACGTCTTCTGGGCTGCAACACCACGTTGCCAGGGACATTGTGCACTTAAAGTGGCTGCCACACGGGTCCCATTCAGCCCTGCAGTGGCACACACAGCTCCACCTGGGGACTTCTGGGGTTTGCAGCATACAGATGGTGTTTCCTGAACATCTACTGCTATCAGCCTGTGCATTGGGCTGCTGTAGTGAGCAAAACAGACACAGTCCTGCCCCACTAATCACAGAACCACACTTGGATGTCACATGAGGGTGGAATGCTGTGAAGAAAACGCACTGAAAGCTTGGATTGAGCAGCCTGTCACGTCCCCAGGGGGTGTGGGAGATGGTGTCGGAGGCAGTGCTTGAGCTGAGTTCTGAGCCACCGTAGGAGTGAACTAGGCAAGGAGGAAGGGGAGGGACATACATGTGCCGAGACCGGCTGCCCATAAGGAGCATGAGGCATTCAGGGAGGGCTGAGGCCAAGCAAGAGAGAGTTTGCTGTGGGGGTGAACAGGAGAGGGAGGCAGGGACTAGGATGGTTAATTTCATGGGTCAACCCAGCTGGGCTGTGGTCCCAGGTTTTTGCACAAACACTAGCTACATGTTGCCCTGAAGGTATTTTATAGATGCAGTTAAGTAAAGGAGATTACCCAGGATAATGTGGAGGTAGGCCTCATATAATCAATCGAAGGCCTTAAGAACGAAAAACTGGAGTTTGTTGTAGAAGGGGGAATTCTGCCTCAAGATTGTACCACAGAAATTCTACTTGAGTTTCCAGCCTGCTGGCTCTTCCTTAAAATAAATTCTCTCTCCCTCTGTATATATATTTATATGTGGGTCGTGTGTGTGTGTGTGTGTGTGTGTGTGTGTGTGTCCAATTGGTCTGTTTCTCTAGAGAACACTGACTGATCCAGGGCAGACCACAGACAGCTTGGCAGGATTTGGGTAGTCCTTCGCTGGCAAGCAGTAGAAGCCAGGAAGGATTTTAAGCAGGGAGCAAGGCTGATCCAGTCAGCATTTGCAGAACATCAGTCAAGCCAGGTTGGAATCTGGGGAACTGGCACAGCAGTCCCAGAGGCTCCAAAAGCATCTGTGACATACCGCCCATCCTCCAAGGCCCCCTGAACCTCCCCATCTCAGATGAGGACACTGTTCGAATCCCTGAATTCCAGTGGTCTTTCTATGCCTTCATTCAATTGTTGAGCAAATACACGCATCTATAGAGCATGGCCTGCCTTACGGGTGGACGTGGGCCAGACCCAGGGCATTCTTTGAAACCACTGCAGGTTTTTGTTTAATCCAGGGTCCTATGAACAGCCCTTCTCTGCATTCATTCATTAATTCATTCATTCAAATATTTGAGGTCCTGGGGCACCTGGGTGACTCAGTTAAGCACCAGACTTTGGCTCAGGTCATGATCTCACAGTCTGTGGTTTGAGCCCCGTGTCGGGTGGTGTGCTGACAACTCACAGCCTAGAGCCTCCTTCCATTTCTGTGTCTCCCTGTCTCTGCCCCTCCTCCACTTGCGCACACGCTCTCTCTCTCTCAAAAATAAAACATTAAAAAAAATTTTAATATCTGAGGTCCTACTATTCTCTAAGCCCTACAGTATGGTCTGGTGATGCAATAGGAAACAAACCTAGCCCGAATCCCTGCTCACCACGTGGTAGAACATATCCTGTCAGGACAGAGATGGCCAAACATCAAAATAAAGAGCTCCAGGTGGAGAGAGGAAATAGCATGTGTTTGACTTCTTGGGCTGCGCAGCCCTGCCTCCTGGACTCACTACTCCCCTCTCTGAGCCTCAGTGTTCTTGTCGACAAAAATCACAAAACACCCAGCAAAATATGGCCCCCTGTTTAGAGAATTAGATGAGGTAACAGACCAGAGTCTATCTCATCGCACTGAAGTATGCACCTGTTGTTTCTGTGTCATTATTTTCCTTGTCACCATGTTGTCTGTGAGGTTAGGTAACATGCTTCAGATATGCTTGTCACAGGACCTTCTGTAAATATCCCAGCAGGGAGACTTGGGGTTTTGGTGTCTTGTTCTGGGTTTCATCTTAGATGCCTCAAGTTTGCTAAGTAGTCGTAGCAAACAAACAAGAATGAAAGAATAAGCAGCATGGGAGAGGGTGAGCCATCACTGCCAGCCTGAGGCCAGACCCCTTCAAGTGGCTCCCTCGTGGTTAATTAGCCTCCCTCCAGCAGAGATGCTCCCTGGACCAGTGCCTCCCCACTGGGCCTGTTCACTCATCCAGCTCCTGCCTCCCTCCCTCCCTCCATGCCACGCTATCCACAAAACACTTCCTGCAGGCAGTGGCCCAGCATGGCTTGCCCCTCCCCCCGCCCCACTCCATCAGCCTGCACACATGCCAGAATCCTGCCATCTCCACAGAACCTCGCTGCCCAGCAGAGAAAGCTGGAAGGTCTCCTTCACAGGCCTGCCCCTGGCCACCACTGTTGAGGCACAGGGCCAGTGTCCAAACGGAATGTGAATGTCCTACATCCTGTCCCTCAGGGCACAGCAGAAGGGTGAGTGCAGGGTAAGCTCTCTGCAATACCAGCACCCTGCACCTGTCTGAAGTCACTCGTTGCACTTGGAATGAGCCCACTTCCAAGGCTTCAGTGTGATCCGCCCATCTCCCTTTGCCCCCCAGACTGACCTCCCTGGCCTTCTTTCCCTGCCTCAACAGCCCCAGAGCTCAGGGCCCTCCACAGGCCTCACTCTTGCCAGACGGCACCCCCCTTCCCCTGCTCCTGTCATCCTGAACATCCCTCTCAGCTACATCTTTCTGCACTAAGTCCCTGGGCATTCCATATCCTAGCACCTTGCTCCTTTCCTTCAAAGTGCACATCACAGTTCGTCATTTATGTGGCTTTCTGTGTGTGTCCTCTCCTTCTGACCCCCCGCCTCTTCCCCTCTCCCTCCCCCTCCACATTAGATTTTTAAATGCCCGAAAGTAGGCATCACTCCTGTCTTCTTCACCAGTATATACACTACCTGGCACATTGCAGTTGCCCAATAAATATTTCTGCCTGAATAACTGAATGCATCAGTGAATACGTTTCAGGTCCTCTGCCCGAGGGCATGATCTAAGTGTAGGTGGCTGAATTTTAGGCCAGATGATCAAACTCCCCGAAGGCAAAAATGCAGTCTGGTTCATCTTTGTATCTCCCCCCCCCCCCCCCCCCGCCTCCCCATCTAGCATAGTTCTTGGCACATAATGAGTATACAGCAAGGGATTAAGGACCAAAAGGACATTAATCCAACATGCCACGGCAACCTAAGACCATATGCAGGCCTGCCCGGTATTCTGAGCCCTGAGGATTCCCAGGGACCAGCCCTGGAAATAAAGTTGCTTGGCCTTAATTTACAGTAATAACCATTCCAACTTACCCTCAAAGCTAAGCCTGGTTTGGTCATTGACAAACTGACTCATATCCTGTTTTAACCCATTTCATCCCATTCAGTCATTTGACGGTGGGTCTACTGGATGCCAGGCAATGTGCTAGCACCTCATTATTCAAAATGCAGCCTGCAGACTGGCAGTTCCCACCATCACCCAGGAGCCTGTTAGAAATACAGACTCTCCGAACTGACACAGACCTACCAGATTAGGATCTGCTTTTTAGCCAGATCCCAGGTGATGTGTACATATGTTAACGTTTAAGAAGCACCGGGCTAGAGATAGAGACTGAGAGTCTGCTGTCTTGGAGTTTAAGGCAAACCCAGCACCGGTGGACATCACCGCTGGGAGTTGACCACTCCAAGAGGAAGCTATGGGAGGCTTATGTCAAGAAAGTCTCACCCAGGAGACCAGAGGCAGTGTTGTAAGCCATCTTAAAGGTTTTGTAATGTTGACCCAAAAGCAATAAGAAGCCCAGGTGAAGGGGTTTCCAGCAAGGATGGGAATAAATAAATTGGCCCATGTCACCCCCTAAAGGTAGTGATAACTTTTGTAATTCATGATTAAAACGAGACTTCCTTCTCTTGTTCTCAAGCTCACTCAAGTGTCCAAAGAGGTGGCCTCTTCCTAGGTGAGCAGGTCAGTGCAGGACCCTGAAGTCCAGACAGGTCTAGGTTCAGCCTTTGCCTGTCCAGGAGTCGTCTCCATCTGTTGGTACGTCCCCAGTCTGAACCCCTGTACCCTCTCACAGGCAGTCATCCCACTGGGAACCTTAGCAGGAACACACCCCCTTTCCTCGGCTTTCAGAGGCACACTAGAGAACAAAACAATGAATTAGAGTTCTTAGCATGAATCGTGGCTCAGGAATCCCATGCCCTCCAGTAGCTAAGTAGAGGCCATATGGAACTGTGGTAAGATTATAGTCAGAGGGACCTGGGTTTGAGTCCTAGCTCAGCCACTCACTCACCGTGAGACCTTGGGCAAGTGTTTTAACATCTCTGAAATTCTGTTTCCTCAATTGTGAATCCAAGAGAATTGTGAGGGCTGGGTACAGAGTGAGTGCTTTATTTATTTAACAAATATTTATTTGACATCTACTGTGTGCCAGCTCTGTACGTACTCTTGGGGGATCCAGCACTGGGCAATTTTAGACAACAGCCCTGCCATCAATGGAGTTGAGTAGTCCAGTGGGAGAAAATGTCATTAGTTGAATAATCACGCATATAAATATAAATGACAAACGTAGTATGTGTTTTGATGTAGGGGAGAAAAGAAGCTGAGAGAGTAAAACAGAGGCCCAACCTAGCCCGGGGGAGGTGACTCTGAGAAATGACAAATTGTGCAGTGTCTCTTGGCCAAGCGTCACTCTGCCCCTCTCTTTCAGGTACCTGGAAGGAAACCACTTAACAGCCGTGCCCAGGGAGCTGTCCGCCCTCCCACACCTGACACTTATGTAAGGAGCCCGGCATCGGGTGGGACATGTAATTTTCTTGCCTGGGGGAGCTCAGGAAACTGACGTGGAGGGTCAGGGAGGATGATCTGCAGGCTTCGCCACGTTCCTGCACTTTCTCCCGGGTGGAGCAGAGAGAGGCAGCTGGGAGGAGTGAGCCGGCCTGATGGGCCAGGTCTTACCAGTGAGAGCTACACACAGAAATACCCAGAGCCTGGCATCACTGACTGTCCATCCACATCAACTTCCTCCTTGGCATAGAGAGAGGTGGGACAGCCTCTGACTTTGTGGTGCCCCAGTTAAATCCCAAGCCTCCTCAGTCTCCAATTTCTTGCAAGCTGTGGCTGCCCTGAGGTTTGCCAAAAGCTTAAAGGGGCGTTTTTTCCTTCCTCCTCTAGTTGCCCAGAAAATGTTCCAGGTAAGTGGTTGAAATTGAGGTTCCTTTGGGTGGTAAATGCCACTGGCTGCAAGTCTGCCAAGATCCAGGAAAACTCCCGAATGAGGAAATGTGGGGCATGGATGAGGCCCAGGAAACCGGGTGGTCTGTAAGCTTTGTCCCTTGACCGCCTCGCTGCCTTGCCAAAGTGGGACCCGTGAGAGTACAAAGTAATTCCTTGGGCGAGTGGCCATTGGAAGATCACCCTGGCTGATTAGGGGGTGGGGAGCTGGTCCACAGGAGGGAATTGAGAGTTCTTTCACAATGAAACACTGTTGCCCTTGGAAAAATGGGGCTGCTGAAGAAAGGTGGAAGAAAGCCACCTGTCACCTCATTCAGCCTTGCTTCCTAAATATCCCCCAAACCAGCCTCTGGATGAGATCTCTCAGCTTCAGCCCTGTGGGCACTTAGAGCCACATCATTCTTGGTTGTGGGGCTGTGGTGGGCATTGTGGGATATTTTGCAGCAACCCGGGGCCCCTACTCACTAGACACCAGCAGCACCCCTCCGCCAGTAGGAACAACCAAAAATGTCTCCAGACATTGCCACATGTCACTGGGGAAGCAAAAGTGCCCCGAGCTGGGAACCCCTTCTCTAGAGCAATGGCTCTGAACCTCAGCTGATTAGTTTTTTGTTTTTGTTTTTGTTTTTGTTTTTTTTAATACTGATGCTCAAAACCACCCTCAAGCAATTAAATCAGAATACCTGATTTACAAGCCAGAATATCTGGGCATGGAACCCAGGCCTCAGAGGCTGTAAATATTCTGCAGGTGATTCTGATGTGCAGCTACGATTGAAAACCACTGCTTAGGATATTTATCCCTGAAGAGAATCTGGAGGTTGTAATTGGGAGAAGACTATACCCCTACCAATCTCATTCCCCCTAAGAGAGAATCTGATAAGATGGAATGAATGAATGCCAGAAGAGAGGGAGGAACAGTGAAAGGAAGGATTGACCTGGGAGGAAATGGCACTGGCATAAGGAGAGATCTTATGTGTTATGTTTTGCTGGAAGAATGAAATGGACAGATAAACTTGTAATTGAATGGTTGAATAGGTGGATGGATGGATGGATGGATGGATGGATGGATGGATGGATGACCAACAAATGCTTGAATGAGTGATTGAAGAAATCTTGAATGAAAAAATGAACATTTGGATGAATGGGTGGGTAGGTGAGTAGATTGGTGAGTGGATGGATGGATGGATGGATGGATGGATGGATGGATGGATGGGTAGATAGAAAGATAGCATGCACAAATGTATGAAAGTTGCCACTAACAGTAAAGTGTTACTCTTCTATTTGTCCTAGTGACCTGAGCAACAACAGCATTGGTGTGCTGACCAATTACACCTTCAGTAACATGTCTCACCTGTCCACCCTGTGAGTACAATGGGGCACTGTGTTCAATATGGGCCTGGCAGTCAGTGGCCTGGGGCCATCCTTTCTCCCTGTCCCCTCATGCGTGTGCTCTCTGCTCTAGTGATCCTCTGGGCTATGGCTGCCCCCATGTAGAGCAGACCTTAACCAGCAGAAGAAAAGTAAAGTAGGTCAGAACTCTACTGTCTGGGCAGTTAGAGAGGAACTAACACCTAATTACTTCTGAAGAAGGCCCTCTTTAGCTTACCTTCTGTGATTTGTGAATTTTCTTTCCCAGTGGAGGGTTTCCCTACACAATTATATTTTGCTCAGATCCATTTATTTCCTATTAGCTCTGCACATTGTGAGCACTGACCATTTGACAACAGAGGGAGGTGATGGCAAAGCTGGTTAGGAAGCCAGCCTGCTGTGGAAGATGAGAGGAAGCTGGGAAAACGAAGCCAGAAGCCAGTGAATGTCCTAGAGTGGGGGAGGGTGTTCCCCTTCCCTTTATTGTTGGGAGGCTTTTTGTCAAAATATTAAAATTGGAAAGATAAAGAAATCATTTGCTTTGAGCGGTCCACAGTGTGGACCATACGCCCATATGTATGTGAGAATAGGAATGGCCATGTGTCTTTGTCCACAGGATCCTGAGCTACAACCGGCTGCGGTGCATCCCCATCCACGCCTTCAACGGGCTGCGGTCTCTCCGAGTGCTGTGAGTACCCAGAGCCCTGAGTTCAGCTTCTGCTTCACCATGTAACAGCAGGCGATACTCAGCACAGTTCCCACACACACACTTCCCCAACCCGGCACTCCTACTGGCTCAGTGGGGTGGGGCGGAGGGGGGAGGGCAGAGAGCCAGCTGCTACCATTTGTGGACCTGGATCAAATCACAGACCAGTCTGAGTTTCTACTTCTTTCTGTGCCCAGTGAGATCACTAGCACCTCCCTCGTGAGGATTAGCATATGCAACTGTATTCTGCACCCTAGTAGAGCACAGTGTGTGGCTTATGGCCACTATCTTGATGATCATTCCACTGTTGGTCCCTCTGACTTTAGAGCGGCAGGGTAAACACTGTGAAACTCTGCAAGGAAACCAAACGCATCTATCAGAGGTCACAAACTAGAAGCCCAGAGACCTGGCTCAGCTCACAGCTATTAGTTAGCAATTGTAGAGTTAGTTGGCTCATAGAGTATCTTTTCAATCAAGCAGTTTGGGGGCACCTGGTGGCTCTGTGAGTTGAGCATCCGTGTCTTGATTTCAGGTCAGGTTGTGATCCCGGGGTTGTGGATCAAGCTCTGCATAGAGCCCCGCACTGGGTTCTGTGCTAAGCTTGAGGCCTGCTTGAGATTCTCTCTCTCTATCCCTGTGCCTCTCTCTGCCACTCCTGCTGTCTCTCTAAAATTTAAAAAAAAAAAAAAAAAAGTGTTAATAAGTTGCCAACAGTTAAATATCAGGAGGCTTCTCATACAAAATCCTAATTTCTATTATTTCTTAGAAAATGGAGAGACCTGGTCATTCCAGGGCTCCCATCTACATTCTTGCATGGCTGAGCAGCCCTGCCCCTTTAGACCAGACTGTATAGTCTGCAGCCTCCACAACTGCCTCCCCATCACCTTATGACACCTGCCTCACCCTGTCCTACACAAGGTAGAGGACAGCCCACTGAGGCAGATGAGCCCCAGCAAAGGCACGATGACCATGAAGTCTACCTGCTTTTCAGTCATGGCTCTGCCCCTCCCTAGCTGTGTGTCTTCAATAAAATCCAGATGGTAATTACCTCACAGGATCTTATAATGATTAAATGAGATGCTGTATATAAAGCATTTAGCGTAGCTCTGGCCCACAGTAAGCACGTTATAAATATTTGTTATTACTGTTATTTATTACCTTGCAAGAGCAGGAATGGCACCTCACTGCCACCCCCAACCCTTGGTCCTGTTGTCGCCTGATTTTTGTGCCTTCTCATCTTGCACATTTTGTCGGGAAAGGAGGATTCTCTGAATGATATTGCCATGAGAACAGAAATGCCACTTTTTGTGGCCGTTGCCTCATATAACCCTTTCCAACAGTGCTGTAAGACTGAGGGGATTAGGCCCATTTTAAAGATGGGAAAACTGAGGCCCAGGTTGTAACTGGCCCAAAATCCAGCAGTCAGGAGCTTGCAGAATCCAGCCTCCTGACTTAGAGCCCTGGACCCTTCTCAGGACCCAGTAGCAACCAGCAAACAGCACCCAATGAGCCTGTCCATTTCAGAGCCTCCAGGCTGATGTGATTTATCGAAGCCCACAAAACACTGGTGTCAGCGACAACTCCCGCCACATGTCATCTGCGCTGTTATTAAAAATCAATTCTCTGGAGGCAAAGAAGTGCCCGCGCTGACAGTGCGCAATCTGTTATTGTCACTTATTTATTATCCACCTTCTCTGGGGAGTTTGAGAATGGAAACATCAGCAGAACCATTTCCCTGTTTCCAGTTGAACACAACGGGAGATGGGCTTGTTTCATTGGCCGGGGCTGAGGCTGGACCTGCTCCCCCCTCCCACTTCCCACCATCCTCCCTTAGTCCCACCTTGTCTTCCATCCTGGTCTTCTGGTTCTATGCATGGGTTTGCTCCCAGGGGCTGGGCCTGACAATTTTCCTGGGACCCGTGTGTATATGTTTGTAGTTAGAGAGGTTCTGGCAGGGCAGCTCAGCACGGGAAAGGGAGGACAGTGGAGAATGCTCGCCTGTCCGTTTGTCGGGTCTCCCATGGTGTTGGCATGAACACCACCAGGTTTTCTGCTTCCTAGGCACCTTGTCCGCCGTGTTCCAGATCACTGTCATTAGTCCACCAGGAGCACACCTCAACATACCATGTGCTTGTGCTTGCTTCTTGAATTAAGAATTAGTAGGCTTTTAGCATCATCATTTTAGAATCATGGGCTCTTGGAGATAAAAAAGGGTCTTAGAGGCCCTCATTCCAACCACCTACCTCAGTGGGGAGCAACTATTTTCTGCATAAAGGCCAATTCAGGAAAAATAAAAATGTTTATGGAGTACGTTTCTTTTATGATATTTGTATCCTTTCTCCCAGTAATTGCACATCTAGGAATTTATGCCTAAGAATAATCCGATATGAGAGAAAGATTCTCTGTGCTAAAATATTGGTTGCTCTGTTATTTTTAACCTCCATTTTAAATATTACCTACAAGTGCCACAGTGGGGAAATGCTTAAGGAAAGCATAATGCAGCCAGTCAGTGAAAGGCAATTATTAAAAGAGGTAAAGATGAAAACTAGGTAGCAGTGTGGGGAAGTGTTGACCACACGGCCTTATGTGGAAAAGTAAACCTAATTTTTTACGTTATAATTATAACTTGCATACATTTATAATTATGAAGTTCTAAAGGAACATAGGAAGCTTTTAAAAAAATCATTGATAGCTAACTGCTAATGTGAAGTTATTTATGTAATAAAAGAAGGCAAAGTTAAAGATGACTGAATAGAGTAGGATAGTCACAATTTAGAGGGTTAGGGGGGAAAGGTAGGTTTTTTTGAATGAGTATCTACAACTGCGTTTGAGCATTCATGTATTCTTTTCTCAATTCTAAAGGGTTTCATTATTTTAGTGAAAATTTCAGAAATGACCAGAGGTCAGGGATGCAGGCAGTTTGGGATGGGGGAAGAGAATGAGTATCAGGTTTAGCCATAGACAAAGGCCAAAAAGTATTCTAGAAAGACCTGACATTTAATAGTGAGTGAGTGAGTGAGTGAGTGTGTGTGTGTGTGTGTGTGTGTGTGTGTGTGTGTGTGTGTGTGTGTTGGTGAGTAGATATGTATGAATACATTTCTGAGACAGGAGGATTATCAGGGACCCCTGAGTACAAAACATTGGGTGAAAGTATGTGAGATTTACCAGTTTGCTCTTAAGCAAAAAAGAGCTAGAAGGGAACATTCTCATGGACATTCTAGTTCTTCTTTTCAGGGATCTGTGTGTTCCCTGATCGTTGCCCCACACCGAGCCACATGCCTTGTGCGTGTGTGGTCCCAATTGTCACTCCCCAGCCCCAGCCACAGGAGGGCCACCTGGAATCAGTTAGCTGTGGGAGGGCTATTTCAGTGTGTGCTCAAGAGATGTGGGGTGGGATTTTCATTCATCATCCTCAGTATTTTTAACCCCTCATCCCTGAAGTAAGATTGTGCTTACTATTTATGTATATGGGGCTGTTCATCTCTCCCTGCTCTACCGATTGCATGGATCCTCCCTACAGCATCCCTACAGAGGGCTCCATTGCCCTTTGCTTGATTATGTTTAGATACCATGAGCCTGCTCCCTTCCCAGATAATCCCACTCCATTTTTGACCAGCTGTTGAACATTAGACAATTCTGGTGAGCCAAAAGGTGATTCCTTAGGGACTTAAACCCTGGTCCCGGTTTGGCCCTTTGGTGCTACCAAAAAATAGAATTAATTGTGAATTTTAGAAATGGGAAGTGAGTGTTAGAAATTATCCTATCCAAACCTTACATTTATAAGGTAAGGAGACACGCTCAAAAAGGTTTAGTGACTTGCCCACAATCATTCACTTATTTTCTAAATGCCAATTGTGGGTTCAATGCTAAACACTAGACAGGAAAATAATGAAACAAGTTCTTGTCCTCAGAGAGCTCACAGTCTAGAAGAGGAAACAGACAAGTATATAAGCTACTGCCACACATGGCCATACCTGTGGGAGAGCCATGGGACCCAGTGTGGGCCCTCAAAAAGGCTTTCTGAGACAAAGATGGTAATCACCACTGACATATATTAAACCTTGACCATGTACGACATACTGAGCTACCTACTTTAGTTACATTATCATATCATATCCACTTTTCATATCAACCCTAGGAAGAACGTACCACTATTAGCCCTATTCCCCAGACGTGGAAACAGAGGCTCAGCAAGGTTGAGTCACTTTGCCAAAGGGATGTAACCACTACAGAGTAAAGTTGGGATTTGAACCCAAGACTGTTGGCTCTTAGAATCACTGCCCTGAGCTTGTACTCCCAAGGCTGAGTCTGCGCAGCCAGGGGGAGTTACCTGTGTGATGGGAGTGGAGAATATTCTAGGCAGG